GTTCCGTCCAGCTCCACCTCGCTCAACTCTGCCCCCGCCTCCCTCTACCTCGATGCAACCCGCATCTTTCTGCCTCGTTGCTCTTCACTTCTCGCAACCCCTCCCGACCCGCTCAACCCCCCTCGGCCCTTACCCCCTACCGTCCCGCTCCACTGCAGTATTGTCCGCTCCGCTTCGCCTCATTCCGCTCCATTCACTCGCGGTCTTCCTTTCCCCGCCTCGACCCTCGCACCTTTGCGACTCGTCCCGCACCTGCCCCGCTCCCACACTTCTCGCCGGCCCCGCCTCCCCGTCCCCCGCCCGCTCCTCACGTTCGCCCTCGGGGCCGCCCACGGGCGAGGACGCCGCCGCCCCCGCAGCGTGTGGGAGAGCGCGCAGGTGCTTCTGCGGGCCGAACAAACTCTGGCGGTTTAATTAAATGAAAACTAAATTTGAAAAATATGAATGGAATATGGAAATCAAAGGAATCCCGTGAGCTGATAATTGTATCTGTAGTTTTGCAGGCAGTTTATATCTGCAGCGTATATATTCAAACACGGATCCGAAAGCTGAAGGTTCCAGTACGGCATGATTGCGGTTGTAGAGTGATTGCATTCTTACGTTCTCCCGCATCACGACTGAATCCCCATTCCATCTAATCATTCATTCGTAGTCATTTACCTCATCTCCTCCTTTACTATCATACATCAAATGAAGAGAATGGTATCAATAGCCAAAGACCAACATTAAACGTCAGCAATGACATCAACAGCATTGCTCTGGAAAAATAAATGAAATCAAAAGTTTTAAGAAAAGAGTCTTCACAGACACTGCAATAATATACAGTATTTACGAATACACTGTACATTAATTCCTTACACACCAAGAATATAAGAATTGCTCGTCCATAGCTGGTGCATTTGGTAGGCGACTTCCTTGAAACCTTGCTGTCGTATGACGGTTATTTACGAACTGAGTATGAGAAATCAGTCAGTTTGAGTATAAGTGGATTAACACAATCAAAATGAGCAGTTCAGCATTTTCAGTCAAACCTGAAACTTTTCTTTGTTATTGTACTTTTTTACATGATGCTGCGTCTCAAGCAAAACCACAGACACTTTTCACATGGCCGAAATCTGTCTACTTTTCTTTCAGTTTCAGCGTGCAGGAGAAATTAGTAATATAGATAATGGGGAGAAACGCGGACCATCCAAATGTGAAACTCACCGCGAGGTCGCATGCTGTGACACTTCCCCTTACTGCAACCCCGAATCTGAAGCACATTTAAGCAAAGCATTTTACTGTATTAACTTATGTTTGAATAGTTATTTGAAAGGAAAAATGAAATAATTGAAAATTGTGAAACCGAATTTTGTGCATGTAAGCCTCCGTTATTGTTAAGTAGTTGTGGCATAGTCTTATAAATGTGTACTAATCTGATTCACCTTCTACCTTGCCTTTTAAAGGAGAAGAACTGCTATCTTCCAGAAATTGGCAAGCCTATATGTATTAAGAGTCCGTCAACTCCTTATCTCCGCGATCATTATCTGGAGAGAGGCGCTTCCTCCCTGGCTGCTCTGGAGGAACCGCCTTGTTAGCGGGCCCCGCCTCAGGCAGAAGGGGTTCGAGGGGGTTGTGTCGTGCGTCTGGCGCCGACAGCCCTGCGACGAGCGGCACGCCCACCCGCCTTGTGGTTGTGGGGCGGAAGCGCTGGCGCAGGCAGTGGCAGTGATGGTGGGGACGGAGGCAGCGGAGAAGGCAGTGGCGGGGCCGGGCACATAGGCGGTGGTGGTGGTGAAGACAAAGGCAGAGGAGAGACGGTGGCGGATGCGGAGGCGGGGACGGAGACGAAGACGGAGGCGGGGACGGAGGCGGGGACGGAGGCGGGGACGGATGAAAGAGAATAGGAACTAATTCTCCTTTTAACGTTGTTAATTTATTTACAATTATTACTTATTATTTATTACTCTTATACGAGTATATACTTACTACTCTTATATTGCGATGGTGGGATAAAGAAAGGAAAGCTTATTTTTGAATTAAACTTTATCTAATGCTCTTAATTTATTGTTTCTACGCATACATTGGTCTGTTCTAAGAAGGAAGAGAAAGAGGACCATGTTCTTCCGTCGAAATATGATGAATGAAAATAATTATGTTTTACATAAAATACGGACACAGTTCCAAAGATTCTGATTCTTTCCCTGTGCTCCGAGTTCGTGGCAGAAACTCTATTTGTGCTACTCATGAATGGACCCTGTACTAAATTGTTTCCTGCTTCTCCGCCCCAAAACATGTTATTCACCTTCTCAGGTAGCCAAAAGTGAAAAGGTATTAATTGTGGGTGTTGCGAGTGTGGGGGAAATCTGACCGCGAGATGCAGTCGGACAATTTCCAAGTTGTATCAACGGAGGCGGCGGAGAAAGATTGAGTGGTGGCGGGGCGTCAGAAGCGAGGCACTGGCCCGGGGACTCTGGGTGCGGTAACTGCTCCGGAGGGAGGGGGGGGGAGAGTGCCAGGAGACAGGGTGCTATGTCAAGAGTGGTGGTGGCGGCTGCGTGAGTGAAGGCAGCAGCGAGGGCGATGGCGACGGATGATAGGGTTGCGAGAGCGTGCAAGATGGCGAGAGCGTGCGAGAGCGTGCGAGATTTCGAGAGCGTGCGCGATGGCGAGAGCGTGCGCGGTGGCGAGAGCGTGCGCGGTGGCGAGAAAGGCAGGAGGACTTTGGCGGCGGGGACGGCGGCAGCTGATGTGGAGGAGAGTTGAGCAGGGCTGCAGCCACGGAGGAAGCGATGAGCCCGGCAGGTTGGGGTGGTGCCTGTAGTGCTAGCGGAGGCGGCGGTAGCCCGAGAGGTTGCCACGGTGCCCGGTGCCGCGTTCTGGGTAGTGGAGCGCCGGCAGGTGGCGAGGGCTCAGTGCATAGCGGAGCACTCGGCAGTGGCACTCAGCGTGCGCGTGGGCTCACGTCGCAGCTCCGAATGTGACCGGAGAGATTGAAAAGCTTGCATGTGAAGACATCAAAGGCGTGGCTGGCTTCAACAGAGTTGTCGAGATCATACGGAAAACTCAGCAGTGCCGCATTGACAGGAACGGCAGGCATAGGAAAACCAACCCAGCGTCAACAATTTTTCCGTGCAAGGAATCATCTAAATTTAGTGATTGATTTCTTTTAATTTAATTTTTTTGTTTCAATAAAATATATTCACGTAAGACAAAATAATGTGTACTCTTCTTTTAAGAGAGTCAGTAGCAGTTTAAAAGAAATCAACTGCAAAAGGTAAATGTGTGTAGTATGTGTCTGTGATTTGTGGGCCAAACAATATCCGGCAGAGTAAACCAATAGTACAAAATATTATACTATTATCGTTCAGCCAATACACACATGGTGAGGTTTGTTTTCAGGTTCAAGGGAACTTGAGTCAAATATCAAATTTCGTTTCGAAGCCTCGGGCTCTCACGAGTGGTAGCGTTTCAGTTTTTGTTTTTAAAGTTTTAGTTGCAATACTATCAGAAGTTGAGTAATTTCTTATTGGTAATTTTCTGTGGTTTTAATTCACAAATTAATTACTATTAAGTCAATCACATACACATGTTACAATATTAATAAATAAAATAAGAAAATGTAATTTCATTGGAAGGGGAAGTCCCCCTCGTGATGAACAATCAGCAGATTTTGGCCGTACAATTGCTGAACGTCTTTACCAGTAAATATTGCTGAACATATATACACGGTTGAAGCAATTCGATTACCACGCCAACGTCAACTACTATTCACTTCTAAAAACGTCAATAAGATATTTGTGTACCCGTTACTCTGCTTACATAAGGACTTAGAAATGGATGGTGAATGCCCGTTTGGAAAAACAGAGTCCGAACCTCCATCTTCTTCATAAAGATATACTTGTAGCTGTACAAAAATACAAAGAGATAAAAAACTGAGCTACTGAAATAATTTTATTTTTTCTGAATTACATGAAATATTACCATTCGACATTTTGTTTAAATAAAACCCAAAAGTTTCATCCTCATTTTGATTGTTAATTCTATTACAGAATCAGAATGAGAAGGATTTACTCGATATCCTATCGAGAAACGTATTTTCTATATTTATTCTCTGGTGTCTAGAACAGCAATTTTAAAATCGAGACATTACAGAGAATTTTTTGTGCGCTGAGCTTGCGAAATATAAAATGTATGATAGATATTAAATGACATATTTCCACTCAAAGTACTGTGTAAAAATAGTCATAAAAGTATCCGGTTGATAACGTCAAACAAGTCCCTTGTAATATTCCTCTGAAGTTCTACAGCAGTATTGAAAATGAAACAAAGGGAAAGTATAAGCATTTGTATTATGCAGAATTTTCTGTCCGCTCTATGAACCCCTTCGTGTCAGACAGTGTCTGTCGCCCGTTGCTTCAGTAGTCGTACTGTGGCCCAATTTGCGAAAATTGCGGACAAACATACTTGCCTTCAATAATACCATATCACAAAATCTTCAGGAACCGAGGTCCTCGTTTTGAATCCCGATTGG